AAATCTAAAAGTTAAAAAAGTTCAAAGTCATTCTTGGCCAGCTGGGGCTAGATGAGTTCTTGTCAAAAATACAAAAACAAAACAAAAATACCAGAAGTATTCCAGCACTTGGGAAGAGTGGGAATAGGACTACTACAAGTTTTAGGTCAGCAAGGGTGATATGGTAAGACCTCATCTCAAACAGCAAACAAACAAAAAAAGCTGGAGTGGCAACACATGCCGGAATCGCAACCCTTGGGAATTGGAGCAGAAGGACTAAGAGTTTCTAAGCCATCTAAAGCTATACAGGGAGTCTGAGGACAGCTTAGGCTACATGGGACCCAATCACAGATCACCAAAAACTAAAGCAAATTTAAAAACCATCAACAATCAAACAAATATAAAAGAATCAAAAAGTAACCACAAAAACCCTCAATAACTAAGTACTTCGCTCATTTTCTAGATGGAACTATTTGAGGTACTTGTTTTTGTTACAGGAGTCTCATATTTTGTTTTATTTAAATCCCCGCTGTATATAATGATTTACAAATGACTTCTCTCACTCTGCTGGCCACCTTGCATTCTGTCTACTGTCTCCTCTGCCTCTGCCGTGTAGTCGCACTTTGGCTTTGATGTACTTTAGATGTCAATATCCAAAAAACTGCTACCAAGACCAATACTATGGAGATTTCTCCTTTGTCCTAGGACTTGTAGAGCTCCAGGATGGGGGAGGAGGGTTGCATGTGACCATATGCACATGTAGAAGCCAAAGAAAGGCTGACTTACTGCATTGAGCCAGGGTCTCTCCCAAGCCAGAGCTCGTCATCTGAGCTAAGCTGGCCAGCCAGCCAGTGAGCTCTCAGGACCCACCTGTCTTTACCTCCCAGTGTGAAGGTCATAGGTCCTCAAACCCATGGACCCCTTTTATGTGGATAGGGGGAATTTTGAACTCAAGTCCTCAGGTCCTCATGCTACAAGAAAAGTGCTCTTACTTCCAAGCCATCTCCCCAGCTATCAGGTCTTATATATAAATTTTAAGCCATTTTTAGTTGGGTTTTATGTATGGTATAAAAATATACTACTCTTTCCCATCTTGCTTCCTCACTGATTAAAGAGACTGTCCCTTTCTCCACTGCACATTTTTGACACCTTTGTTAAAGATTAGCTGACACTGCATGTGTGAGTTTGTTTCTGGACTTTCTATTCCAGCACAGTGGCCTGCTTACATGTCTGGTTTTTAGGCTAACACTACACCAGTTTAATTACTTGTTTTGTAATATAACTTAAAATCAGGTGTTGTGGTACCTCCAGCTTGGTTCTTCTTGCTCAAGAGTACTTTAGTTATTCGTGGTCTTTTATGGGTCCATGAGTTTTAGGGTTTTTCTTCTTCTTCTTCTTCTTCTTCTTCTTCTTCTTCTTCTTCTTCTTCTTCTTCTTCTTCTTCTTCTTCTTCTTCTTCCTCCTCCTCCTCCTCCTCCTCCTCTTCCTCCTCCTCCTCCTCCTCCTCCTCCTCCCTCTTCTTCTTTTCTTCTGAGACAGGGTTTCTCTGTGTAACAGCCCTAGCTTTCCTGGAACTGAACTTGCTCTGTAGACCAGACTGGCCTTGAACTCACAGAGATCCACCTGCCTCTGCCTCCCAAGTGCTGGGATTAAAGGCGTGTGCCACCACTGCCCAGCCTAGGTTTTTTTTTTTTTCCTAAAAAATCTTCCTAGAACAAATCTAGACACTATTCTGCTGTGGCTATGGCTAAGCACATACCTGCTTCTGGGAGAAATGCCACTAAAATTCTAATAAGGGCAGTGCTAATTGTGTACACTGCTTTGGGTAATATGGACACGCTGATAGGCCAGGCCACACTGACTTTTTCATGTGCTCTTTGGATGGTGTGGTGTAGACACAGCTCTGAACCAACAGGCTTCCCACCTGTGCACCTCTATTTGCTCCAGTGACTCCACTCAAGAGCACTGTCCTAGTGGCCATGGCTCTTCCTGAGATGGAGGGCACCTGCAGTGTGCATGCCAGGGTAGGGCACGCATTGCTCCCTTTCTCTCACAGGAGTAGCAATGCCTCCTCTGGGAGCAAGGCTGGAGGCCAAAAGGAAAACACCCAGGGAGCCACACTCAGAGCTGTCAGGGAACTCACCCACAAGGCAGAGAGGTGGTCTCAAGGTATCTGGAGAAAAGGTCTTAGGAAAAACACTAACTGGACAAGCTGCCCCAGAGCTTGGATCTAGATGATGTGTTAGTCACCGAGAGAACACAGAGGAGCTGTGTTTCATTTCTCCATGGCCTCTGACATTTCTGAGCTGTCTACAGTCTTGCCAGTGCTACAGTGGTCAGATATGGGCTCTTCTTCTTCACCTTGTGTCAAAGAGGTGTCGCCTCGAAACCTCTGTTTGGTTATTTGTAACATTTGGGTATTTCACAAGACTGAACTAAATGAGATTAAGAATCGTGAAAGTGAGATGGCTGTAGTAGTGCTTAAGCAATCCCAGCACGCTGGAGGCAGAGGAAGGTGGATTTCTGTAAGCTTGAGTCTAGCCTGCTCTACATAGGGAGTTCCAGGCCAGCCATGGATACACAGCAAAGCATCTAATACTTGACACCATCTAAACAAATACTATTTCCAAAAGCCGTTGATTATGGCCATGGCCAAGCACACACCTAGTCCTCAGTCAGCATTTGTTCACTCCTCCCTAAAGATGACATCATGGGAGAGAGGACACAGGACAAACAGCAGCTAGTGAAACCCCAGTATCCTTGTGAGGACTTCAATAACGCGTTATGTGACAAACAAGACAAGAGGGATCTGAAGCCCTAACTGTTCGTGTAAAATATCCACAGTGGAATGAAACAGAAGAAAGGTAATGCTTACCATCCATTAGTAGACGAGGCAGCTGGGCTCACAGCTACAAAGGGACCTGCACTGGGCTACTCTGCTTTTACACGAGATGTCTCTACCCATGCTCCCACCTCATGCTCTCCAAGGAGATCACCTCCCCAGGCTGTGACCTTCCCTCATCAGGGTCCACTGGCAGGAGGAGTACAGGCCCTGAGCAGACAGCAGATGGAGGGTAAGGAAACTAACTTGGCCCAGTGTCTGCAGGGTCGCCTTTCTAACCCTGACTAGGTGACTTTCTGCTTAGAGCCGTAAGGGTAAATAAAGCCTGGACCATTCACAGCCATTTACAGACTCAGGTCAGCAGCCACTCCTCTGCATTACACAAGCCCATGCTCGCCCTTGTGTCCTCAGGGGCACCTTCCCAGTGCTGCTCCAGAAGCCTGAGGCTGAGCCTGTTTGGCTCACTCCTCTACAGGCCATTTCTTTTTCTTTCTTTCTTTCTTTCTTTCTTTCTTTCTTTCTTTCTTTCTTTCTTTCTTTTTTAAAATTTTATTTATTTATTATATATACAGTCTTCTGCCCGAATGCCAGCAAAGGGTACCAGATCTCATTCAAGGTGGTTGTGAGCCACCATGTGGTTGCTGGGAATTGAACTCAGGACCTCTGGAAGAGCAGTCAGTGCTCTTAACTGCTGAGCGCTCTCTCCAGCCCTCTACAGGCCATTTCTAACGGTCATCATCTACCGACCAGACTCAAGCTCCCTGAAGGCAAGGACTATGTCTGCCCCTTCTGCTGCCATATCTAGTATCCACGTCACACTGCTGATAGACTGAGATAAAAGACCATTCCTGAGTGAGTCTAAACCATGCTGCATTAGAGCTGTGCTGTTCCTACAAGACTGACTTCACCGCCAATTCCTAGTCGGGGAACACAACAGACCCAATGAGCTCTTGGCAAAGAGAGATGAGCTCACCATCAGGCTCTCTGCACCTTTCTCACAATCCTAGTTGTGGAAAAGACCCAGGTAGACATGGGTCAACTGGGCACATGTGGCCTTTGTTACAGCCATGGACACCTGCACGAGTGGGCAGATGACTGTGGACCACGTACTCCCAACTTAACAATGCATGGCAAGTCACAGGATTTTCAGGGTTAGATATTGTAGGTGAAAAGCCAGGTGTGTTATGGTGATGTATACCTTTCATCCCACTGCTTAAGAGGCAGAGGCAGTGCACGCCTTTAATCTCAGCACTTGGGAGGCAGAGGCAGGTGGATCTCTGTGCGTTCGAGACCAGCCTGGTCTACAAGAGCGAGTTCCAGGACAGCCTCCAAAGCCACAGAGAAACCCTGTCTCGAAAAAAGAAAAAAAAAAAAAGAGGCAGGTGCATCTCTGTGAAGTTCCAGGCCAACCAGAGTAACATGGTAATACCTTGTATGGAAAAGAAAAGAAAAGAAAAGAAAGGAAAGGAAAGGGAAGGGAAGGGAAGGGAAGGGAAGGGAAGGGAAGGGAAGGGAAGGAAAGGAAAGGAAAGGGGAAGAGAGAGAGAAAAGCTAACAGTGCCTCTATGCCAGAACACCTGACTATCATAAGAAGTATGACCACTAGCCATAGGTAGCACACTTCCAGGCAGCCCATTCACACTGTGTATGCAGTTTGTTTTCAAATGGAAGGTGCCTGCCCAATCCCTCCTCATGAGACTGCTGGGCTGTGCCCATTTCTTTGCGCTAGGGCTGGGCTCTGACTGTTTGGGTAACTCTAACAAAGTCTTAAAATGACAATTCCCATGACATGCCCTGGTTGTTGTGAACATGTCTTTATAACAGATACATGCAGAAAAAGTTGGCATCACACCCAAAGTTGCTAATCAGCTACGTATGACTCCATCTGTTTGGGTATATGGCTGAAGAAACCTGCTAAGACACCGGAAGGAAGCTGTCTTTCCTATGCTGTGAAGAAACTGCCTGAATGGGAAACAGGCCCGTGTCACTGAAGCGTGACGTTATATAACTGCTGCTAAGAGCCACCCTGCCTTTTTTAGTCTACTAAAATTCCCCTTGAACTTCATCTAGAACCTACTGACTTTCTTTCAAGTAAAAAAAAAAAAAAAAAGGGAAAAGACATGTAGGCAAACTTAGGATGTGATGGCACACAGAGGTGTGAACTGCATTAACTACCCACCTAGTTTAATTCCGTTTTCCTGCTCGCATCTCTTCAGATTTTTCACTCTGGATTAATCAGTGTGGAAAGTCTAAGAAACCAGAAGAAAAGAAAACAAGATTAGAGCCAGGCACAATCTAGGCTGTAAGCTGGAGCAGCCTTTGGGAAGACAAATTTGCAGTATCTGTTAACATGAAATGAGCACATTCTTTGAGTGAACCCAGTATTCAGGAATTGGTACCAGAGACATATTCAAATGAGTAAAAGATACTGTGAGGAATTAACTGTCTAAATGGGATGAAGTTAAATTCCTGGGTATCAGCATGCCAAGGCAACACACAGCCACTTCAAATTATAAAGAAGTTTATGTTTAATTGCTTAAAAGAATATTGCAGCTGGGTGGTGGTGGTGCACGCCTTTAGTCCCAGCATTCAGGAGGCAGAATCAGATGGATCTCTGTGAGTTCAAGGTCAGCCTGGTTTATAGCGAAACTTCCAGAACAGCTAGGAAGAAAAAAAAAAATACTGTGAAATTGCATATATTACTGCTGCTTTTTTGTGGGGGACAGTCTTCCTATGTAGTCCCAACTGGCCTCACCAGCTCCTTCTCAGTGTTGAGGTGACAGGTGTGTGATGCCACACAGCTACATACATACCTACATGTGAGCTTCATTTGTTCTTACTCTTTGGGACAGGTGGGGAGTGGTGGGGGTAAGGATCAAAACAGAAAAGGGTTTCTATTCCATTGTTCTGTTTGTTTTGTTTTTTGAGACATGATTCTGCCTAGGTGGAATTCTCTGTGTCGGCATACAGATTTCTGTGAACTTAAGGTCAGCAAGACCACAAAGTGACAGCCTGCCTAATCAGTAAATAAGGCCTACAACATAAACTGCCTCCCCTCTAGGAAGCCCACTGTATCCAGCCCTGGGAGTGGCTGGCCGACGGGAGAGGATGCTTCAGATCACTGCATCTGCTAGCTGGCTGCTCCCAGCAGATGCTCTGGCTCCCATGTCCCACGAGACTAGGTAAGAGAAATGTGAATACTGTATGAATCATTTAGACAGAGGAGAAACCACAGAAATGATAGAAATAAGGTCAAAGAAGCCAAGTGCTCACCACAGTTGCCAAGAGAACTGCCTAACTGCATCAGCCCTTCCAGAGTTCCCTGGAGAGCCTCTGCTCTCCTCTGCTTCAGGGCTTCGCGTCTAACTTTTTCTTATTGACAATAACGATTTCAATAAAATAGCAGTGACGCCTCACCTCCTATCTCCATACAGCCTACAAAGCACATTTTGCTTTGCTTCTCACTCACTCAGTCTTTGCCTTCTATGCTTCTTCACGGCAGCAACCACCATGTAGGCCCCATGTTCAGGTCCTGCTGCACTGTAACCTTCAGCAGTCTCATTCCCCCTCCCACCCCCTATGCTTTGCCTACACCACGGCCTCCTTTGGCTCCTCAGCCTTTCCTGCATCCAATCTTCTTGCTCACGTGCTCCTCCCTTAGTCTTCAGGTTCCATGACACCCCTTAATTTTACCCCTTGGCTCTTGGCTCATGGTGTCAGTGCCTCCTGACCCCTCTAAGCACCACCTCTTTGAGGAAGCCCTGGCCCACACTCTCCTGTACCTCACTTAGCCTGTTCATGCAGGCTGAACACCTATTCTTGCTCTGGGTGAACTTTCATTTAGGAAGGACCACTCCGGTTTTCCACCATCCATCCATCACCATGCACAGTCCAGGTGATGAATGAGTATTGGCTGACCGCATGAAAATGTCAACATGAACTGAAAGTGGGGTTCAATGCTACAGATCCTCTGCCTTTTCAGGCTTGACACAACTCTCTGGGCCTCTCTTGGGACCCATGACAACAGGTTTGTTTTGTTGAAACAGGGTCTTTTTGTAAGTGAGCATTTATTCCTCCATTGGACTGAGAACAATTAAAAGTCTTATTCCTGGGTAGCTGGCTCGGTAATTATGTTCTGATCCTGACGTTAGGCAGCTCACAAAAGCCTATATGCACATAGCTCTAGCTTCAAGGGATCTGACACCCTCCTGTGAACCCTCATGGGCATCAAGACTCACACACTTGTTTTATTCCAAGTTAATTATGTTTACATTTATTTTTTTCTATTCATTTATTTACTTGAGATGCGCTCTTGCTCTCCCCCACCCCCATAGGGTTCCTCTGAGGCTTTGGAGGCTGTCCTGGAACTCGCTCTATAGACCAGGCCTGCCTCCAATTCATAGAGTTCCACCTGCCTCTGCCTCCTGAGTGATGGGATTAAGGGCATGCACCACCACACCTGGCTCCTTTTATTTCTTTAACCCCAGGAAGGTTTTTTTGTTTGCTTGTTTTTAATTTCTTATTCTGTTACTTTCTTGTACATTTAATTTCAAATTTTATTTGTTTGCCTCCTGTGTGTACATGTGTGTCAGTGAATGTGTATAAGAGACAGAGTCCTGGGGGAGGAGGGTGGTTTATGAAGCTATGATTCAGACACTTTCTAGGTCACAATTCAAAATTTTTCAGTAACCTGCTGGCTGACTACCATCTTGGCTGGTGACCTGGTGAGTGTGTGATGTGTAAAAGAAGCTTTTTTACATTTTTGGTTGTCAGCCTAGCCTTTAACAGATGAGCCATCTTTCCAGCCCAAGAAGCTTTTAAAATAAGATCTTGGCCAGGACCAGGCATGGTGGTGCAATGCCTTTAATCCTAGCACAAGGGAGGGATTTGAGTTTGAGGCCAGCCTGGTCTACACATCAAATTCCAGGAGAGCTGGAGTTACATAGTGAGACCCTGTCTCAAAACAAATTAAAATAACTAAAAATTTAAAAGGTCTTATCCCCTTCATATTCCCACCATAGCATGATCTGGGAGACCTAACACCTAGGTTTTGACTAGCAGAGCAGGACAAATTGAGGCGGCAGCCCCTACCCACTCAGATGCTACTTCTGCCTGTATAGTAAACAGCACCAGAGCATGCTCCAAGATACACAAAAGCAAGGACACTAAGACTAGGGAGAAACATAGCAACATGAGGAGAGGGTTACTTAGACAGATACCTGAAAAGTGAAAGCATTGACTGATAATTTTTTTTTTCAAGACAGGGTTTCGATGCATTGCTTTTGAGGTTGTCCTGGAACTCGCTCTGTAGACCAGGCTACCCTCGAACTCACAGAGACCCACCTGCCTCTGCCTCCTGAGTGCTGGGATTAAAGGCATGAGCCACCAACTCCTGGCTCGACAATTTAAGTATTTTTTTCTGCATTGTCTAGCTTTCCTTCCTTAAATATGTTCTAAGTTTGTAACTGGAGAATCCAGCTGGGAGGTGATGGCCCACACTTTTAATCCCAGCACTTGGGAGGCAGAGGCAAGTGGATCTCTGTGAGTTCAAGGCTAACTTGGTCTACAAAGCTACACAGAGAAACCCTGTCTCAAAAAAACAAACCAAAACAACAACAAAAACCCAACAGAAAATCCACTGGAAACTTTAGGCTCCCAGTCACTCATCCCTATAGTTGGGGTTCCCAATCCTGGGCCATGCCAGGAGGGCCCCTGGATTTTGTGATGAGGAATTTCTTCCATTCCTCTAAAGCATAGGGGACAGGAAGGTGAGGGAGCAAGTGTCCTTGCTGCAGCAAGAGCTGCAAAGCTGTTAGCACAGGAACAGGAGGGAGAGTGTGGCTAAGAGCAGCTGAAGCTCAGAGCCTCAGCGGGGATCCACAGCCCTCCACTTGGCACATGGCACAGTAACTGTGCACTCCCCTGCTGTCTTCCCTGAATCGCAGGGCTTAGGAGGTAGCCCTGTGGTGGAGTGCTTGCCTGACATGAACTCGGTTTAAACATCAATGCTTTATATTAGACAATACAAACAAACAAAAAACACAGACAACAGCAACAACCTAGGAATCATGTGGAATTCTGAGCAGGGCCTGGTAGCATACACCTATAATTTACAGCCCGAGGGAGGAGCAGCTTCAGCTATCTAGTGAGTTTGAGCCAGCCTGGACTACATCGGATCCTGTCTCAGAAAGAAGAGGGGTGGGAAGGAAAACAACTAAAGCTGGTCTATAATCACCTATTCCTCTAGCCCAGTGCTCAGTTTTGTGGGAATGTGACAGCTAGCCCTAACTTGATGGCACTATGTCCAGGAAGAAGTCACTCTATCCCAGCCGTTAACGACCCTTCTTTCTGTTTTCCCTGGGTGATGTGGTTTGTGACAATTTATACAGGACTCCCCTGTGGTGGGTAAGGAACTTAACCCAGTACTGGGCACCTCTAATAGCTGTCTACCTTTGTCCCGAAATGCCTGTGAGAGCCCAGTGGCCTGCAGGTGTCAGCCATGTGAGATAAGAAGAAACAGCGGATTTCTGCTTATAATGGGGATGAGAAACAACCCAGGGGAGTGAAGCCTTTCTCGTCAGCTGTGGATTCCACAGAGCATGAGATAACTGTGATGCCCACCTTTAATGTCCACCATTACAAACCCTTCCTTAGCCCCCTCTGGCCTGACAAGCTCCTGATTTGACTAGAAGGCTGTTGTCCTGTTAGCAGTAAGAATAAATCGTTTAACCCAAATTCAAATTGAGTCTAAGGTTTTGGTCTTTCCCAGTGGATTCAAACTCTACAACAATATGAGCCCCTCAACACAAACTTACCGAATAATAGAGACCACATCTATAAAGCACTACACAAAGCTGACCTAGAGCCCTGGTGCACAAATGTCCATTAGCCACAGACACTTCCTTGCTTTGAGGCTCAAACGTCCATTATCCTGTCCTACAGAGCCAAATGGAAGCAGTGATTTCTTCAAACATCAGCAAAGCTGCTTTTACATTTGGGAAATGCTGGCTTCATAGAGTAATTGTTCTAATCTTCAATTCACAATCTGTTGGCCTCTCAGCTGAGTGCAACGCCCAGAGAAACCACACTGTTTAGGGGAAGATGGCCAGTGTTCTAGCACCGCTGAAGGGTTTCCAAGAGTTCCACCTCTGACTCTGCTTAGCAATCATGTCTGGTGCCTTGAGCTCAGATGAGTAGACTGGTGGGCTCAGCTTCTCCCAGCTGCAGCTGCCACAGTTTCTTCCTTCAG